ACACTCATTTTACCTTTCTTGCTTATATTCCACTGGGAAACTATCTCAAGTGTCTAGACGATGACCGTTCCTCTCGTGAGATCAGGCAGCAGGCGCCCTGTTGTCTCCAAGCTCCCATTCCCTGGGCTCGTCCAGCGCTGCTGTCCCTGCGGAGCCTTGGGTGGGAAGCTGAGCCCCTGGATGAAAGGCAAGAGTCGGGATTTGGAGTCTCACTCCAGGCCACTCTTTGGTCTCCACTCTGCAGGACTGTCAAAGAAGTTGGTGGAAATTTTTCAGGAGACTGAACTGGGCAGGTTCCTTGCCCAGCTCCGTGAGGAGCAGCAGCAGGAGCTTCTGCAGGGCTACCTGAAGGACTTTCTTCTCCTGACCATGCGCGTGTCCACTTGGGAGGAGCTGAAGGTACACTCTAAGGGTCGGTCGCGACGCTTGTGTGGCATGGACTGGACACAAACAGGAACGGCTCCTCGGCTCCCTGGAGCTGGTGCTGTTTGGTCTGGGGGACAGAATGTGGTCTGCGAGGATGCTGGGGGGTGAACGTGCTGCTCGAACTCCTCACCATGCTTGGTGCTGGAGCCTCAGCCCACTGCCCGGGGCCTCCCAAAACACAGAGCTTTTCATTAATACAAGAAAACCTCCAGTTTCCCCATAACGCCTTCTTTTTAAGTGTTTAGTTTCTCTTGAAGAAAGTTAAGGTAACTTTTTAACTAACCCCACAGGGTAAAAATAATAAATGGAATTCTGTGCAAAGACTGATACTTTTGACTACCTAAAAATTTCAAACTTTAGCATATAAACAGGAAGGTGACAGAGTTGAGGAGAACATACACAACCAATATGACTAAGGGTTTGTAAAGTGTTCTTAGGAGTCAATAAGAAAATACCCTAATTTTGAAAAATGGGTAAAAGTTGTAAACCAATGATTAACAGAATAATTATATAGATATCCAGAAAACATTCAAAAAATTGCCAAGCCTCAGTAGTAAATCAACAAAATGCAAACGGTTATTTTGCGTATTCGTTTGCAAAGCTGACTTCTAGGACAGCAGTCAGTGCTGGGAGTGTAGGTGGTGTGAGCCATGGGTGTTCTGGAACACCGTCCAGCAGGACAAATCCAGAACCTGGCACATCTGAACTGCTGGTTCTGTCCTAAGAAAACTACCAGAAATGTGGACAAACGTTTTATTCACAGGAATATTCTCTTCAGCTTTGTTTCTAAAAATGAAAAATGAGAAACGATTTAATCGTCCAAAAATAAGGGATGAGGGCCGGCCCATGGCTCACTTGGGAGAGCGTGGTGCTGACAACACCAAGCCAAGGGTTAAGGTCCTCTTACCAGTCACCTTTAAAAAAATAACAAAATAAGGGATGGAGAAAGTAAAGTGTGGCCATTGGAGGGGCTGTTATGCAGGCATTAAAGATAGTGTTCTCCAAGTAACTTAGTGATAGGAAAGTTCACAGGTGGAAAAAGTCAGGAATACTGTGATCCTGATTTCGGGACAATAGGGACAAGAGATACAGATATAAGAATGACCAGAAGGGTACCCAGGAGCACACTGGGAATTGTGATAGTAAGAATAATTTTTAATTTTCTCCTCTGGAGTTTTTGAATAGTTCAGTTTTCCACAGGGAAGACATATCTCTTTTGTAATTTAAAAATATGTACTAAAATCTTTTGTTAATAACAGTTTTTGCAGATGGCTCTGTGGTCCTGCATCAATGAATTAAAAGCAGCATCAGGGGTGCCGGAGGAAGGGCTCTCCCTACCGTGGGTGCACCTCGCCTACCAGCATTTCAGGAGCCGGCTGCAGAACTTCTCTAGGATCTTGACTGTCCATCCCCAAATTCTACACAGCCTGACGGAAGCCGCTCAGAAACATGACTTGGCTGGGTGTGAGATGGTATGGCCCCTCTTGGGAAGGCCCAGGCTGTGGCCTGTCCTGAGCGAGTGTCGGGGTGCTTCCAACTCCACTTGGGGAATGCAAGGCCTATGGGGACTTCACGGGACACATACGTCAGCATAACTCAGAGATGTTAAGAACACATCTGACTAAAGCTTCCTATATCCCAAGACAATGAAAGATCAAGTTACAGGTCCAGAACCCAAGATCACACGGGACTAACACCCAGGCATCTACCCTGAGGATTTAGAGCAGCCAAAAAAACAAAAAAGGGTGGGGGGGGAGGGGCTGCTCAGTCAGGTGCCTGTTCTCCCTCTTCCCAGACTTTGGATGCATTTGCAGCTGTGGCCTGTACCGAAATGCTGACGAGAGACACCCTGAAGCCGAGTCCCCAGGCTTGGTTCCAGCTGGTGAAGAATCTTTCCATGCCGCTGGAGCTTATCTGTTCCGACGGCTACCTGCAAAACAGCGGCAGCCTGTCCCGAACCATCAGGGAAGTCAGGTGAGATACAGGAGCCGTCACTCCTGGGAGCACTCGGCATGTGCTCCTGTCGCCTGTGAGTCCTGGGCACATGGTAGGGAGGTCTAGCAGACTCCCCGCCCTGGGACGGGCTCTCTCCTTGTTCCCTCACTTGGCATTTGTTGAACCCTCACTAAGTGCCAGGCAGCTCATTAGGTGATGGACACACGGGAAGAAAACTGTGCTCTTGGAGCCCCCCGTGTGCGGGGGCTGCGGAAAAGCGAGCAGGTTGCGATGGTGCCATGCAGGAAACGCTGTGACCGAGAGGAGCAAGAAGAAAGGACAGCAGGGGCAGACAGGGCGAGCCAGAGGGGACAGGCCGTCAGGGTCAGGGTGGACTTCCAGGGCAGCAGTTCCTGTGCTGGGCTTGAGGCGAGGTAGGACACAGCAGTCGAGTGGGCTGTGGTGGCCACGTGCGTGTGGGCATCAAACGTGAGCCACCAAGTCCTGTCCTAGCAAGTGTTGGAGGGAGAGTGAGCAGCAGGGCAGGGAGCAGCATGCAGGGCCTGGGTACAGCCCCCTCGGCCTCCAGCCTGGACCTTATTCTTGTCTTCATATCCTCTGCCCGGCACCTGCCTCCTCCACCCCCCGTGTCTCCTGTGATCGCTGATTGAGCAACACCCCTCTTGACAGAGCCCAGTGGAATCGGATTTTCTCCATTGCGCTCTTTGTGGAGCATGTACTTCTGGGGACTGAAAGCCAGATTCCCGAGCTGCGCAAGTTGGTGACCAAGTACGTCTTCTTACTAGACAAGGTGAGTGTTGGGCTCATCTTAGCAGTGAGCACAGATTTGCCTTTTTCCAAAATGTAAGTGACTGCAGCGTGACCCGACACTTGCCTGCCAGCTCGTGCTTCCTCTGTCAGCTCCCCAACAACCTTATCTAGCAGTGCACCCGAAGGTGATTTTATCTGTAGGCCACTACATTTTCAATGGTGGTTTAATTATTTACCCTCTCCCGATTGCTAAGTCACAGTATATCATTGAATATTTAGGGTCCATTGCAGGAATGGAAATTATTCTGATAACTGTACACAGAAAGGGATTCATTTAGAGGACATGCTTGTGAAACCTTTGGGAGGGATGAAGGAGTCGGCTCTAGCCAGCCTCTGGGTAACACCAGAACAGAGCAGCAGCCTGGCCTCCTGCGGGAGCCATTACCATTGCCAAGGTCAGGAAGACAGGGATGCCAGTCGATGCCACTGGACTTGGGGATTCACACGACAGTGCTGTCAATGGGACCAGGGGAGCAGGAAGCCACTGTGCCTCTGCCATGGGACAGTGCCCTGCAGAAAAGCCACCATCTCTGTGACCATGCTGTCCAGCAACAGTGGCCACTCAGAAAACCCGGTCTCTGCCTCCTTCACCTTGTGACCTTCCCATGAGCGCATCTAGTGGGCAGAAGCTCATTGGCATCCAGGGCTGTCACCATCAGGGGCATCTGAGAGAGGCAGCCATAGCCCTCAGCCTTGGCAATGCAGGAAGACAACAAAACGGGGTCAGCATGGATGCTAGATGCCGGTGCACTCTGACATGACCGAAACATTGGTGGCTTAAACAAAACAAAAGCTTATTTCTCTCATGGAACAGGACGGGCTTAAGCAGTGCAGGGCTAACGTACCAGCTCCCTGCAGGCGCCCGAGCTCCTGTCTTGGCCCTTTGTCATCCTTAACATACAACGTCCATCCTATAGCCTTAAAGGCTGTTCCCAGTGTCACAACCCAAGGGACAGAAAGAAGGGGGCAGGCACACCCATTTTCCTTAAGAATACAGCCCTGGACATGCCCACACCACTTCGGCTCATATCTCATTGTCCTAAATTTAGTCGCCTGGACTTGTCCACTGGCAAGAAGCTTTAGAGGAGTGGTCCTGTGCCCAGGTAGGACTTGGAGGTTCTTTAGATATGGGAAAAAACAAAGAATGGATTCCAGGAAGCATGGTCTGGTATGGATATTAAAAGTACCACATTGATCTAAGGAGGAACTAGCTTGGTGGAGTATAGATGCTTGTAGTTATACATAAAAAAGCAAATCTTTGGGGGACATCTTAAGGCATGAATATAAAATATTTTTAATTCTGTAACTCTTCTGCTGTGTAGTTAGTGTGGTCTGTGCTATAACTTCATTCTATAGAATACTAGGTGGAAGTGCATGATTTCTACTTTTCATGCGGAAGTTGGCCAGTGTCTATAATGAGTGACAAGTAGAGTTAATAATGATTCAAAAAAAAAAAGAAGAAGAAGAACTCTAGGAAGCTGCTGGTGTGCTCTTCCACCCAACTGGCCAAACAAGTGCCCCTGCATGCTCTTCCACAGGCAGCCTCTCCCAAGTCTTCCCCGTCATGGTCCAGGGTAGCTGGCCTGTGTGGTTCCCAGAGGTGGATAACCTAGAAACTGAAGGATGAGTGGTCTGGACCCTGCACACTGGGATACACATACTCATAGGTTTTTCCAGGTTTTTGCATTAAATGACCTCAAAAATTTAATGGGCTCTGGTTTATTTACTTCCAGATAGATCCATGTGTGAGTAACTCAGCCAGAGATCTCATCTAGCTGGTTCTTGTGCTCAAAGCTTGGCTTGTATATACTGGCTTGGTGTTCTGCCAACCCCTTCCAGTTTAAGGGTGGCCCCTTGAGGCCATTTGAAAGGAAAGGCTGGGGTGGGGAGCACTGCTCTTCATCCGGTCTTTGCCATGTGGCCGGCCCCCGTTGTCTGGGCAGGAGGTCTTCAGTGGAGTTGCTCGAGGAAGGCACAGGCCTCAAATCCCATCTCCTTTCAGAGCTACCTCTTTACAGCTGCCTGAGCTAACAGTCAGCAAAGCCTCCCACAGGACTTTGTTGAAAGCTGCAAAAGGTTAGCTGGATTATAGACAGGTAGGTGATAGATAGGTAGAGAGAGATTCTCCTGGCTCATGACCTGATTTCCAAAGTATCATGGACAAGTCTTTCCAGATGTTTTGCAACAGATCATAAGGACATTGGCTTTTCAGTCTGTAATGTCCCTGTCCTTGCCATCTACCACCCAACCATTAGGCCACTGCTGTATTTTTTATTGGAGGAAAATATGCATAGCATAAAACTTACCATTTTAACAGTTTTTAGGTGTACAATCCAGTGGTGTTAATTACATTCACAGTGTTGTGTAGCCATCACTACCGTCCATCTCCAGAACTTTTTCATCTTCCCAAATTGAAACTCTGTCCCCATTAAACAATGAGCCATCTTCTGCCGTCTGTCTCTCTGAATTGTACCACTAAGTGCCTCATAGAATTGGAACCATGCAATGTTTGTCTTTTTCTATATCTGGCTTACTTCACTGAGCATGTATGTTTCAGAGGTTCATTCACATTATAGCATGTGTCAGGATTTCATTCCTTCTTAAGGTGGAATAATATTCCACTGTATGGAAATACCATGTTTTGTTTACCCATTCATCTTTTGATGGACATTTAGGTTGTTTCCACCTTTTGGCTATTATGAATAATGCTGCTATGAGCATGGGTGTACAAGCTCCTGTTTGAGTCCCTACTTTTAACTCTTTGGGAGATAAACTTAGAAGTGGAATTGCCTCATCATATGAAAGTTCTCTGTTCAGCTGTCCGAGGAGCTGCCACACTGTTTTCCACAGTGGCTGCATTTCACATTCCCACGAGCAGTGCCCCTAGGTTCCAGTTTCTCCACATCTCAGCCACTACTTTTATTTTCTGTTTTCTTTCTTTTTTTTTTGTCTTTTTTCGTGTCCGGCAACGGATCGCAACCCTCAGTGTCGCGCCCGTACCGGACCGGGAC